TTTAAGTGGGAATTTTTTAAAAAACAAAGAATTTAAGGGAATTTTACAGATTTCCGTGTGATGGATGATCGACGGCTGATCACAGTAATTTGAAAAGCACTGTAATATAGACGGTTAGGTTTTTGTAAATGAAGTTAGCATGACAACTACCTAATCAAAGTTATTGAATGTTGTTTTTTTTTATATAAATTTTGTTAAATGGCGAGCAGAATTTAATTTAAATCATTGTCTATTCAGTTTGCATTAGAGACGATCTTACTTAACATACTGTATAAGCACGAAATAACGCTCGTGGGTGTTATTTTGAAAATAAAGACCATCAAAAATAACACACGTAATCTCAAATTAGCACCCATGGGCATCCCGAATTAACACGCGTCACAGTATAGCATGTATATTGGATTCAGAAAATAAACTCTTAAAATAATGCGTAGGTGGATGTCATCACTCATACCGTATCTTTTATCAATAACTCTATATTATTTTGTTACTATTCATAATTATCCAAAATTCGAGTCCATTTTCACTTTAGAATGTTCGAATATTCAAAATTAAATGGTCAACCTCGAATAATTCGAATAATTCTAATTTAGCGAATTCGATAGCCATCACTATTATCTATTTATACAGTAGGCTCTTCTGAATTAAGCAAACAATAAAAATATTATTACCTTTAGAAATACCCAAGAATTGTAATATATTTTGATGATTTATTTTAGATAATCTATGTATCTTCAAAATAATATATTAATGAACCGTTAGAATAATTGAAGTCACTATACTACTAATAGAGGCATGCGAGAGCTGGGCAAAAATTAGATAGTAAAATGTGCATCAAACTCTTTACAGCCAATTCCATTATTACTGGTACAACTAAAAAAATTATTAATAACGAATCGGTAGGGCTGATGCAGATATTTATTGGTTCAGTTATAAACAATTTTTTTATTTGCCCCACGAATAAAGAAAATAGCTGTAAATTGTAAGTTTTTTTCGCGAGCCATGCTGGCCGGCAAAAAATTAATTTATCAGATCCGCGCAGGCTTTAATTGCTTTGTACTCACGAGTTGTATTAGCGCTTCATTATCTTGATTTTTCAAATCATTGGGTATATGTTTCATAATTATTGGCTGTTCATGCAAATAACCTTTTAGAGCTATCCCACAGTCTCTTATTTTTATTAATTTAGGATCTTTAACTTCCAAATAATTGATCGCATTTATTTTATCATTTTGAAATGTTATAGTGAATTCGATATCTTTGGAATTGGATTCGTTCTTCATATTATATCTAGGAACTTTTACTAGTAGTTTGCGTACTTCAATGTAGTAAAAGTGTGTTATTCTGGATATGAGGAAATTTATGTCAAATGTTGGACATCAAATAACTTTATTTGTTGGTTAAACGCCCGAGCTACTATAATTTGTAGTTTTGTGTTACATATTTTAAAATGAAAACCTTCATGTTATAATGTATGGAGCTGATTACATTTTTTGATTCTCTGAATTATCGTTTCTGCCATTTTTCCCCAAAAGGAAATTGTATATTCAAGTATGTGTACTGTACAGCGCCTTACCGCCATTGTTACAGGTTCCCGTAACAATATTAATTGGATCTTAGGTTATACATCGTTAGTAATCAGAAACTTGGGTTCAAGGAAACGTGTTAGTGTAGTTTCCATGAAAATACTGTTTCAATGTTATTACTCAAGGTTTCTTCTAATTATTCAACCTGTATATAAGGGCATGGCCTAGCCTTTGCTTGAGAGCAATAAATGTACACTCTCCCAAATCCCCCTAAAATAAAGATCGCATAAATTCACATATTTTTATAATAAAATGCCATAAATATCCGAATAATGTTATCCATCGGAGTTAAACTGTGCTGAAGCCCATATAGCTCTCTCAAAATGAAGCCTAGTATCGCCCATAAAAAATGTGCTGACGTTACTGATCATCACGTGATTAGAACGGTTAACTTTCTTCATTATCATTATACTGTATTGTTCCGTATATTGATTGTATAAAGGTTTTAACAGCGCAAATTATGTGATGTACTCGAAGAAGATAGAAGCATCATATTCTTTTAAAATGTCAACATTAAATTATATATTATCAAATTATTATATATTATAGTAAAAAAATTTTTAAACATTTCACGAAATAAACCGAATCGAAATATTTGGCTAAATTCTGTCCGTACAAATTTTAATATTTACAATGTATTGTTCATATAATTCAACTTTTAATTATTTTTATATGTGACGATGCTAAAGTGTTTAGTTAAAAGAAAAAAATTATAAATTGTCATCGCATAAAAAAAAAAAATTTGCTGAATTATCGGAACTTCAATTCCATGCATAAATTATGACATCAGATACATTTTTTTATGGGCGATATTAGGGTTACGAATCAGTTCTAGTGCAGCTTTCCTATTAATCATTTTATTAACTATAATTTTGACAAAAAAGATATAATATATAAATAATTTTTTATTAACATTTGATAGAAATTATTTAGTCTGTTTTTTTCAAAATATTTTTTAGTTCTAGAATTATCTTTTTATTTTTTCTCATTTTCTTCTAATTTTTGGACCAATTTTTTCTCATTTTCTTCCAATTTTTGAAACAAAATTTCCTCACTATCTTTTAATTTTTGAATTTCTTCAACCAATGTATCAGTTTCATTGGTTTTTTTCCTATCTATAAGTTCTAAAAGTTTATCAGAAATAAATGGCATTGTAGCAGTATCATCCTAATTATTATTTTGTATTTTAATAACTATGTCATAAAGTTTATCAAGACTAAACTAGTAAAATCTTTGATATAAATCAATATTAAAATTAATTATAAAAATATTAAAAAAAATCCAAAGTACTGTACAACAATTGATATTTACATAATTTCAAGAAACCAATTATGTTTTCTGTGTTGGTATAGTAGCATATAAAAAAGTTCTATTTCAGATAGAATCTATTAAAATATAAATGTTATAATTTTAAAAATAAAGATATTACTAAAAAATTTTAGTAAAATACTGAGTAAAAATAGCTCTTTCTTGTTTGTTTCACCAATAAATTCGGATAATAATCCAATAAATAAATTCATTAGATTGATTGTTGTAAAAAAAGAAAATAAAACTATCAAAACTGCTAGTAATAGATTGTCAGTTAATGACCAATTAGACAAGTAAAATGAATTGCCTATAAAATTATGAATATAAATATTATTGTTATTTAAATTATTAAGAGATAATTTTAAAAAAACCTGTTAACATCATATAGACAGCCAAGTAAGCAGTTATCAAATTTGTAAACATATTTGTGCTTGATTCTTCTGAAGTGGCATTATAAGTAGTTACAGAATTCAAAGAATTGTTTGAACCATTTGAAACTTCAGTTGATGGCCTTAACAAAATAAGTAAGGAGTGTGCAAAAGCAAACAGAATAAAACCTATCATTACAAAAAATGCTAAAGAGTTTTCTATAACTCCAACAATCATTGTCCAAGCAATACCACCAAATTAAATAGCATGAAAGAATGTTATAAATTTAAGTTCAAGTAGTAATATAGAAATTGTAATAGCCCAAACTGGTGTAGTAGAAGATTGTAAACAATTGATAGAAGTCAATGTGGGAAATAATATTGCACCTATGTCTTATAATAAAATTAATACATATCAAAATTGGTTCAAATTTTATAATTATGATTAAAAATAAAATTTAAAATACCAAAATAATTCCAAATGCTATTAATCCAAGTTAGAGGAGAATAAATAAACTGTTGAAGTTCAATGGTAATATGTAAAACTCTGAGTAAAATGGTCATAATTAATAACTGTTTCTGTGAACTTTTTGATAATTCATTTTCAAAAGTAGCAATTATTAAAAAACATCCCATAAACACAGAATAAAAAATCCAAATAACAGCAAAATAATATTTTCCATAAGTATTCCATTTAAATTAATAAAAGCTTCACCATGAAAATATTTATAAAATTGCAGAAATTGGTGTTCAATAAAAGGACTAGGTTGAGGAAAAATTAATTCTTTCAAGAAATTATAATCACTAGTATAAGAGCTAAATTTAGGTAATGGAAATACAAAAATTATAGCTTGATTCACATTTTCTTTAGAAGTTTTTTCTTTTAATGGAATAAAAAGCCTATCAGAAAATTCTTTTAACAAAAAAAACTTTGAAAACTTTTCTTTTAGTAAAGAAAAAAACTTAACAAAATTTTTCTTTAATAAGGAAATAAATTCATTAGCACGACTTTTAAGAAACTTAATATCGTTAAAGAAAGAAGGTTGTATATATTCTTGATGATTCTGAAGATGTGTATCTGATGAGAAACTTCCAATTACTATATCTTTTTCTGTACTTGATAGGATAAATGGATTATATGATAAAAATTCATTTAATAATTGAGGATATTGCGACAATTCCACAAATGAAAGAGTAATAATATTTAATAACATAATATTTGATAAAGTGTTATCCTTTCCTATCTCTTCATTTATTTTGTCACAAATTTTCTTCGCTATTAAATAATTTTTATTCTTTAAAGAACATCTTAAGATTTCATGTCCACATAATGCTAATGTTATTTTATATTTAATATAATCATCTAGTAATTCTTCAAAAGGATATCTTTTATCTATAAAGAAACGTTGGTAAGCAATAATTACATCAAAATCTGGTAATGGTAAATAATTTTTTTGGTCCCTTTTTATTTCTTCAAGCAAATCACATAAATCGTTAATACGTGATCACGAATTTCATGACATCTTTTCTGGAAGATTCTTTTCTATTTAAATAATCATTATAACTGTTACGAGATCCTTTGTAATATCTCAATCTTATTCTGTCGTTCTGCCAAATTGACCAAATTAATATGCCAATAGATGTTATCATTACTAAATCATCGTTATGCAATAAACTACAACTATAAACATCTCCTTCATCTGTCGGATCAATGTTCCAATTATCTATAGATTTCCAGTTATTCATATTCGAATCAAATTTTAGGGCTTCTATTAGTTTTCCCTCATTTTTTATTTCCCACTTTATTAAGGGTCCTTCATAGAATTCTTTTATATTTTTAATAAGATATTTAGATTTATCTTTATTTTCATTTATAAAACTTTGGAGAATATCTTCTATATGAGATCTAATAATTGGAGATCTGAAAGGCGGAACATCTATTTTATCTTTTAATATTTCTCGCAGATACTTAATCCATTGTTGTTGAGGAACATCTTGAACCTGCAAATGACCATCCAATATGCTATATATTTTCCCATCTATTAATGTTTTAAATTCTGCTTTGGATATGTCTAATTCAGAAAGTTCTTCACAAAAACTCGAAGTGGTCCTACTGTTGATAATACGCTCAAGATGATAAGGATCTCTTATTTCAAAAAAATCATCATCATCAAAAAATATAAGCAATCTTTCTCCTTCTTCAGATGAAATAAACTTTACACTTGAAAAATTTTGTCTTTTAATTTTACCTATTTGTTAATTATAAAAAATATACATTAATTAATATGAATATGTTTCTTTTTCATATACAAATTCAAATGGCTTACATTGCGATAAAAGCATTGTACTTTCTATCAAATAAACATAAATATATAAATCTACATCATCAACTTGTAAACCTGTCGCAAATAATGTAAAATTCTTATTAAATGCATGATTTCCTATTAAATCACTTTCCCAAATAATATTCCATTCGAATTGATATTGTTTTTCAAATAAAAAAGTAGTTAAATCCCATTGAGTTATTGAACCACAGGTGTCAAAAAAAATAATCTTTTCTTTTTCTGCACACCAAAATACCTCAGACCATAAAATGTCAGATACTTGGATTGTATTAGTAACCTTCCAGTTCTGCATGCGTAAATTTAAATTTTTAAACGAAAATTTAAAATTACATGACCTTTGTCTGCGTCCATTATGAAATCTCCATTCTTAAAAAATTTTCCGTATCCGAAACTATATTCTTTAATTGGTTTATTAATGTATGTCATTTCTAAATTTATTTTCTTCTTTGTGATAAGATTAACGACCTCTTTAAAGGAATAATTCATCAAAGAATTGTTATATATTACAAATATTATATAAAATCATTAAGGCTTTTTTTTTTGTTTATCACTAACCAATTATATTATCATCAATTGATCGTATTGCAACAAGTTTATTATCCGAAACTGCTATTAATTCTACATCTGAACTTGCACAAAATGCTATGATATCTATGAAACAATCAAACTCTATGGGTTGACTTTTGTCAAGTTGCCATCCGTAAATTGAGTTATCCTCTTTACTCCAAGTTGCTGCATATTTTTCATTTGGTGAGATCTGTATATCATTTATTTCCTTACCATTGTGTGGTTTAAAATCTATTTCAATTAGTTGTTCTGTATGTTTGAATTTTGAAGTTTCATCCTCGTCACTCATTTTGAAAGTGTTTTTTTTTTACTCTTAAAATTTGCGTGCAAGACTTAATCTTTCAGTAGAATTCTGTATGGCTTAAAGTAATATTTATTACGAATTGTTTACATCAGTTCAATTAAACATCTGGCTTATGCTACATAGCCAACTTAAGCAGCTTAGCATGATAGCATGATAAGGCGCAAAAACATTGATATTACACACATTTTGGTCATCTTAATATATCGTTAATTGACCCATTAAAAAATTTTTTGGAAATTTGTATGACGTTTTTAATAATGCATCCATAAGTTTTTAATACTTTCATTCATTGAACTTTCTTTAACTGAAATAATCTCTGTAATCCATTATCCTGCGGGTTCAGGATAAGGGTGTTCTCAAGCACCTTACTCAATGGATCGGAAGTAAAGTTTTAATTAGTCGGAAATCGAGACAAACCCACCTTTTTTCTTTAAAAATTTACCATTGATAAAGGTCGCTCAAGCATTACTTTTACATTTTTTACATATCAAACATACAATAAACATATAATAAATAATTAATTCTCAACAAATTTTTAACCGGTCTAAAAAGAAACCTCTTTATTTTTAATATTCGAAGCTTTTAAAACCAATTCTGAATAATAAAAGCCCTCATACCGAAAATATGTTCAAGGTCCGCTCCGGATGTCAGTCGGATGGCTACTCTGGAATTCAAAATTTCTCAATTAATTATCGTTATCTATTATTAATAGGCTTACATACGTATGTTGTTTGTAATTTGAAATGCTGTAAATTCTTTGATGAATATATTAATTTAGAAACTTTTTTTTGACAAAAATAAATTATTAGATTTGTGTATCTTATTTATTAAAAAATTTTTTTAAAAAACTAAACCTTAATAATTTTCAATACATTTTTTTATATATGGCATACTCTATATAGTATGACGAATCCCTCTATAATGAACAGTTAGCTATAATTTTAATTTTACATATAGTGTATAGCACACGGGTATTGATTTTTCAAAACAATTTGCATAAAATAAATTAAGATTAGAGTAAGGGTAAATTTGGGATGAAGGTATGGAGTGTAGGTTATACCAAAATTTCACAAGGAGTTTTTTTTACAAATATTCGAAAGGTAGTTTTATAAGCAAAACTTTGAGTTATAAATTATTTTTTAAAGAAAGTAATGATTTTTTATATTATCCGTGTGCATACACATAGTGTTCAAATAAAAATTGCCATAATTTTATTTGTAATTATAAAAGTAACGTTAAAGGTGATTTAAAGAACTAAGAAAAATTTTCATCATAGTCCTGATTCATTTCTAGCTCCCTTTAAATAATTCAAGCTCCTAGTTGTGAAACAAAATGCAAAACCCCATGTAATACACGGACTATTCAGGAAGTACGTACGTACGTACGTAGGTTAGCGTGAAGATAAATTGGATAAATTAATCCTTGTAAATATGTTACAGTAATAAAATTATAAAGTTGCGCTCATTTTAAAAAAAAGTAAATAAATGGAGTTTTGGGAATCTCTAGGACTTTAACGAGAAAAAATGATAAAAATGATGAAAATATTAAAAATAATCAAATCTGGAAACATCTGGCTGAAAAATGTGAATGTGGGTTTAAATTCGATACAAATAAATTCATAGTAACATGCTCCGATAAAGCTATTGAGTTTGATACTTCAACTAAAAAATTCCGATTAAATTTGATTGAAAACGGGTTTGAAATAGTGAAGGAATGTACACATGACTTGGATATCTTCGCAACAAAAACTTCATTTTGAGTCGAAATATTAAAGCTGGACTGCCCTGGCTTTCTATTTTTGTCGGGAGAGAATGGGGACACGAACAAGAATAATTTAAGCAATATGAAAAAGCTGAAATTATCATTCCAGAATCATGTATTAAACCAACAAAAGAATTAATTGATGTAGAAAAGGCATTGAAAAAAAGTACAAATAAAAAAACAATTGATGAATTTTATAAAGTGTCAAAGAAATATGGAAGCTTTTACGCACTCCGCTTTACTTTCGGTAAAGTAGAAATAAAAGAAGAATGTAGTATTTAGATTACAAGTAAATATGCAATTTATTTCTTTGCAAATTATAAACACTTTAATATGTCACTTCAATTAATCATTCGATCAATTGATTTTAAAAAGCTAATAATCTCAGTGCCGGATTCGCTGTGTCCGCTGCGCACGCAGGGTAGTATGAATTTTACTGCCGATAAAAGAACTAAGGATGGATCAAAGAGTCATGACAGTTCCTTGGAGTCAAAGGACACTATAATTAGTAATGACTCAGATGATTGTACTAAGTGGAGTATAATCTGATATGACGAAATTGATATAATGTTTAATTTATTGGATAATAAATTACGTGAAAAGATTCATGATATTTTAGGCTGTCAAATCTTAACAATGGATAAATTAGAAAATAAGATAACAAATATTGAGGATATCAAATTTTTGCTTCAATAATGAGTAAGAAAAAGACATCTTCAACATTAACGCGTAAATTTGCTGAACGATTTTCATCATCATTGCATAAAGGTGTTGGACTATTTTCATCATCATCGTATAAAGATGTTGAACCATTTTTATCATCGCATAAAGATGTTGAATCATATTCCTTGCTTGTTGATTGTAGTTATGATGAACATACCCTAAAATTGGTCAACCAATTCAGTGTAAACAGTAAAAAATGTGAAAAACACAAATATTCATTTAAGCTCTGTTGGATTGTTGTTGGACAACCAAAAGATTTTGACTTTGATATGGAAAATTGTCCAATAATTCTAAGAAGCTGCAATCTAAGGTTTGAAAAGGGAAATTTGAAAGGAAATAAATTTATACAAATTGCTATTAAGGAACTTTCGGATTTTACAGATATTAAATATGGACAAATCCTGCATTTTGAGTACTTGAGTGTTAAAATCAAGTTCAGAGGATAAAAATCAGTGTTTAAAATTAAGATCGAAACCTACATTCACAAATGCAGTTGTCTCATAGGTTTTAATTGCACAGACCAACTATTAGTTGCACACATGTGCATATAAAATTTCTTTTTATATGCACTTATTTATCGTCTTTGAATTATGCCAGCGTTATAAATTTCTATACCAAATATATCTTATATTTTTACTTAATTTTTCGGAATACATTTCCTCGAAATTTAAGCTCAACCTTGTTCGTATTTTATGTTCATTCATTTTCATTTCGGAACTTTTCGGAATATCTTTATCCTATCCCATATTTTATATTTAGCCTTATAATTTCTCTTGCACTGTGCAAGCTCCTTATTCAAATTTGATTGCACACTTGTGCATATACATTTAGAACTTCTCTTGCACAAAAAAAAAACTGCTTGCGCATATGCGCCTTGTGCAAGGTAATTTTAAACACTGATAACAATTGTTCTCAATTAGAAATACCAACTCTAATTGGTACTCATTTTTCATTTCTAACCACTCTGCATGTTTATTTGCTCATAACCTTGATGAAAATATCCTACAGAGATTATCCTTGCACTTATGGTTAGAAGCCAAATCTTATTTTTTTTTTATTTAACATTTCTGAAATTTTAACTAACTTTAATTTGAATAGTGCCATTGATGTAAATATCGGCCAAAAGTTCAGATTTGGTCAAGAAGATATTAAATAGCAAAAGGAAAAGCTAGAAAGTATTGTACGGCCCTTATCAAGAACATGATATTAAAAATAAGACGTTGATAAAAATTTAATATTAATAATAAATGTCAGATTGTTTAGAAACTTGCAAATATCATGGTTTTATTAATGTTAATCTTAACAAAATTACTTATAGATCATTTGATTCGCAGCACATGGACTACAATGCAAAGATGGCTTATTTAATAATCCCTATTCCTTCAAGAGTCTCTTCTGAAAACTATTAGGTTACTTTATTATTTAGCAATTATGTCGTTATTAATCACCTTTAATCACCTTTAATTTAATGGTTATATTTGTTATTTAATTAGGTAGACATATTGTGCGATATGTCTGAAGTTATTTATATTCGGCATTTTCAATATCCTTGAAGAACAAAATTAATAATATTATTTATTTATATTTTCTGATATTGTTTTGGTCTAGAAATTGCTTGTTTATGTTATGTCTTAAGTGAGATGCGTAAATTGTCATTATTTAAGTCAAGAGACAAGATAATTATTATTTTATCATTAAATTTAAAATATATAATGTAATTATAATTATTTCAGGGTAAAGAAAAGCCAATTTTTTTTTGTTATGTCACGCGTATTCTTTTAATACCTTAATTCTAAAAATATTCTTGATCGATGTAGCAAATCGATGAATGCTCCTATTTATAAGCAATAAAATTATAATATACTAAATTGTAAATTGTACATTAATGCGTTCAATCCACTGATAATAAGTTACTTTATTTTATATTTAAAAATTTTCTTTATTTTATATTTAAAAATTTTAAAAATATTAAATAATTAAATAATTTATAATTTAGGACAATATCATGTAATATCTTAAGAAAAGAAAAGGGATGTCTTAAATACTTTACGTTGGAAATTATATAGATAACCGGTCCAGTGGTCTCATTTCACAAAAAAAATAAAAAACTATATGATAACTTATTATTCAGCGTAATATTTGATGATAAAAATAAAGAATGAAGTGTATTAATTACTGCTATTATTAACTATAAGAAGTCTTTACAAAAACCTTGATTTTTTAAAAATATAAACAGCATATATCTAACCTATAATAAAAGTCTTAGTAAGCTCTGTTAACTCTCTTGTAAGAAACTTATTAACATTATAAACATATTATAAATATTTTAATATATTTATTATAGGACTATTATATTATTAAAATATTGGAATTTTTTTATTTTATTCTGTTATTATTATTATTATTAGATTAATAACAGATACTTTTATACATAAAATTATATTGTATCTATGTAACAAACATATTATTAGTAATGAAGTTACATGAGAGTTAGCAGAAAGAACAAAAATATAATTATTATATGATTAATATATATACAAGTATATTTATTATATACTATTTTAGATCATATAATAAATATATTGTAAACATATTTAGCAAAAAACATAGGTTTCTGTAAAGGTGTTTAAAAGCGTCATTTAATTTATTGTACTATACAATAATAACGATCTTAATTTGGTATAAGAGTTTTATTTGATGCTAGTGCCTGTAAGAATATCTAATTTATGGGGCTTAATTTAACTTCAAATAGGGATTATTTTATATACAACATGATATGGACGATAAATATGGACTATAAATATGTCTTTATTGCTTAATTAACAAGGTCGAAATATGTAAGCAAAGATATCAATATTAAAGATAAAAAATATAATAGGAATTACTACTTAAATACATGATAAAATGTAGAATGTTTAACAGACAATAAATTTTAACTTGCATATTGATTCTTTTAATTGATAGTGTATGCCATATATTTCGCTTTACTGTTCTTTATACAGTCGATACTGTCTAATTGCATACTGTCTAATTGCATATACTCAGTGTTGGCATTGGACATATGTCCACCCATTTTTAATGCCATTGGACTGGACATGGATATTGGATATATACTTGGA